TAATGCTACTATATTAATTAATGAAGAGAGAGAATGTAATTTTGTGGAGTGTTCTTGTTTGGACAAAAGTCCTTTAAATGTAGAATTTTCAAGTAAGTATGAACAATTCGAAGTGCTAAGGTCTCTTTGCAAGGATTTTATATCGAATACCACATGGCTATTTGATTTAAAGGAGGTGGATATGATAATGCAAAAACAATATTTAGGTGAGAATGATGTTGGTGAAGAAATTGTGGACTTGTTTGTAGTTGAAAAAGAAAAATGGGATTGACTTAGAACTGTTAAATTGCAAGTTATGATTCACATCAGAGGCAACATTTATGAAGGTGATGTTGAGTTAGAAGGTGGAGGAGGGAAGTATAATCCAAAGACCTAGAGGGAGACTTAGAGGTAAGAAAGGTTGCAACAAAAACAAATTGTCAAACAGTCAAGGACATAATGTTTTGGGAAACAATAAAAGGGCAAAGAAAGTTATTGACGTATCTGTACAAGACTTGGATCAATATCTTGGTTTTGATTCTAATTTGATGGAGGCTGAAATAACATGGGATGTACGTAATGTGGTTGGTTTGGCACTTAAGAATTGCAAAAATGATTTTATTCAAATGGTGGCTATAATGGAGAGAAAAGAGAGAGGTGATTCGGATATTTAAATAGGTCTGGTTTTGATGTGTGGAGATGGGAAGCTAATGAAGAAGCTAATCTATTGGAAAAAACTGGTATTCAAAAGAGAGACTTACTTTTTCAAGCGTTTGCTAAAAGAGATATGAATAAGGTGGAGATAGCAAATAATAAGAGTTTGATGTGGTTTAAGATTTTTTAAATGAGGATGGAATTTGATTTTAAATAAAAGTGTAGGTGAAGGAGTTTAGAAGGTTGGACAATAGGTTGAGAAGTTCATTTAAATTAAAGAATAGAGTTTTATATTGTTGGCTTAAGTTGAAGTATGAGCTGTATTTTTGTGCTAAGTTTTAGAGAGAGCCAAATCAATTTTTAATTGTTGAGTTAGTGTTGGAGTAGGAAGTTTCCTATTATATTTAAATAAACATGGACTTAGGAGGGGGTTTGTGGAGATTAGGTTAGTGTGTGGATAGAGTTAGTGGGATAACTGAATTTTTTTTTTCTTGATTTATTCAGACAAGGCTGTATGTGGACACCAATTATTTGGTCAATAGGATGCAAATAGTGGTTTGTTTCCTGGATAGGGAGCTGTTCAAAGGGATTTGGACACGTATGTAATGGAGGTGGGGCTGTGTTTTAAATATACTTGAAAGTCTACTGTTGAGATAAGCTAAGAGGAATTTAATTGAGGATCGAATATGTTTAGACAGCTAGTGAGTTAAGAGTTGCTATTGAGTACAGGCATGAATTTTTCCTTCCATAGTTAGGTGGGCTTGGGGAAAAGTATGATCTATGGGTTCAGTTGTACCCAATATCCCCAAATTAGGTTCATATGTCTTGGGGTTTTAATTTTTATGCTTTGTTTTCATTTTGTACTTTTAAAAGCCCATAGTTTAATTTGCCGAAGACAACTAGCAATAAAATTGTGTACCTTTACAAAAAATATTTTGAGGGATACAAATTACTTTAAACTCTTTTAAAAATGAAAAACTACATACTTTTTTTCTATTTTAATATACATTTTATGTTTATTTACCATTACTTTTATAGATTTACATGAAGATTTTAGGAAACTAAATTTTAGCTTAAGTTGGCATCTACTTATTTAAGTTAAATTATTATGATGTTATACTTATTTTTGCCCTCCATTTTGTTCGGGATGTCTATTGAATTTTAAAAAAAATAAAAATACACAATAATAAAAATATAAAAATAAAAAAGAGATAAATATGAAAAGGATAAGGATATGTATGTGCCAATCCTAATCTTAGATGAACTAGAAAATCTAAATAGAGATCAAGTTAAGTTGAATTAAAACTCAAAAAACCAATATAAGAACGAATAGAATACATTGGCTATAAATATACCCAAGCATCAACGTAAAAAAAAAAAACGCAAGGTGGATAATGAACACAAAGAGGAAAAATAGAGAAAAAATAATTATTGAGTTTTTGGGTTCTTGTGTTTCAATTTCTTTTAGATCTAGGAGAATCAATTTAGTTTTCTTAGTAACTATTTCGGTTAAAAGGGAGAGAAAAAAAAGGTTGAAAGAGTGTCCTAGTTTCTTGAACAGGGTTTAGAAAAGTACTCTTTATTCCTAACAGTTCACGCTTGGTATTTGGATTTGCAATTTGGTTTTCTTTTTGGGTTTTTCAGCCCAATTAGGTAAGTTTCTTTTTTTATATGATTTTAATTTTAATTTTAATTTGAATTATTTTATTTTTTGAGACATTTAAAAATTAGGAGTTCACATAATTTATGTAAATTATCCAATGATGAAATTTTAAAGATGCCAAAAATGGCTTCTTGGGAATTTCTAGGCGAGCAAATTGTCCAAAATTATGCCACTAGCGTTTGGAGGTTTTGAAAAATTTTCGATATCCAAGGATTTATATAAATATTTAAATAAAATAAAAAAGATAAAATTATAGAATTAAATAAATAATTTCTCTAATAATGAAATCTCAAGAATGTTAAAAGTGGCTTTCTAAGAATTTCTAAGTGAGAAAATTTTTCCAAATTATGCCATGGGCGTTTGGAGGTTTTGGGAAATTTTCAATATCAAGAATTTTTATTTATTTATTTCAAAAAACTAATAAAATAAAAGATAAGAAAAAGAAATATAATTAAATATTAAACTAGATTTCATTTAATAAAGCTTAGAGGACACACAATTGATAGGGTACTAGTTAAATGGGCATTGTGGGGGTGCTAATACCTTCCTCACAGGTAAGTGAACTTCTGAACCTTAAATCTATCCCATCAACTAGAACCTACCTTTTTAAATGAGCACAACTCTTATTTATGTGGTTTCAAAGTCATTTCGAATGTGAGAAACATGCCTTTTGTAAGCCTTATTTTTCGTTTACTCCTACCTTAGAGTTTTACAAAATTCAATGGCCAAAGAAAAGTCTAAAGTAGAATGGGTTTCAAGGCTTCAATGTCTCGCTAGTATAGAAGTAGTATGGAGAGCAACTTAGATGTCTCAAGAATCCATGGTATGCAAATGTGGAAATGACCCATGGGTTTCACTTTTGGGAGATTGGGAAACAGTAAGTTATGCTCCAATTATGGTACAAAGATAATTCAAAAATGAGCAATTCATCCCAATGACGCACAGGCTCGACCAACTCGAATTCTCTTACGGTCAGCTAGGGATAGCAAGGAAGGTCAATGAACTTGTTAAAGCATGGACACAAGCAAATAAAGTAAGTCTGGGGAGGTTAGTTGATAAAGCTATTTCTGGGAATTTGACATGGTAACAATGTCAGGTCAAGGACAGGGTACTTTCGTCAAAGCATAAAGTTGGTAATATCATTGAAATAGAGATTAGTGAACCACCACATGATGAAATGGCCAAATTGAGAGATGAAAACAAAAGATTGTGACAAACAATAAAAGATTTGACAAAAGAACTAGAACGAAAAATTCAAAAGCATTGTAAGGAATGTGATGAATGGAAAAAGAAATATGAATGTTTAGACTATACACTTTCACCAGTGATTATGGATCTTGGTAACCTACAGAAATACTTGAGTGTGAAGGAAAAAGATTTGAGTGAGAAGCAAAACTAGAAAGATATGTTCCAAGCTTCTATGGATAATATGGGATAGAGGATGTGTTTTCAGCGATAGAAAATTCAAACACTTAGGGAAGAATGTGAGCAACATGAACACACCCTTCTAGCCCTCTAAATAAGTTATGATCAAGCCAAACAAGAATGCCTTTTGTATCAAGTTTATGCAACATCATGAAACATTGGGGAGACATAGGGGCATGAGTTTTTAGCCAAGCAAGCTTAAGTGGAACTCTTCGCTAGGCAAACTAATAAAGCAGTCCTTAAGGCAAGGGAAATGGTTAAAAAAATTGAGTCACTTAAACTTGAAATCCATCCAAGTAAAGTTTATGGACAATGATTGCTTAATTTCATGGATAAAGTGCACAATCATTACAAGCAAGTTGGACGTTTCAAGTATTTTGAGTTAGATTTTTAAGTGTCTAAGTTAGATTTTTATTTTGTTTTGTTAATTCTTTTCTCTCTTTTTATGATTTCTAAGTTGGATGGTTTAAATATTGAATGTAAGAAGTTTAAGTTATTTTTTCATTTTTGTAAGTAATAGAAGTCTCTTTTCATTATCTATCATTGCATGGAAAATATCCAAAACACATTTAAAACAGGCATGCATTTACATAACCAAGATTTTTCTCATATAAACACACAATTCAAAGTATCTAATTCATATTTATGGTAGAAAGGGTCCCTAAGATAGCTCGACCTCTAAAACCCACTTACTCATCGCCTATGCAATACTCGGCTACAAAGCAAGATCATGGAAAACGAACAAGCTATGCAAATAGATCAACTAGAGAAAGCTCAAGAAGAGATATAAGAGCAATTAACTAAGATGATGGAGCTAATTATGTATATCAGGAAAAGGAAAATAGTGGTTGAAGAATTTTCCAACCAAACTAGTCAACAGATTTGAAGCAACAATGATTTCATGAACTAGCACCTAATATCTCAAAACCAACACTACTACCCCATACCACCTATGGATATCCTTATGGGGACAGTCATCGATGCAAGGAACCACTATTGGATAAACCCTATTAATTTTATTACAGTTCTAGATCTAGATGATCTAAAAATAAAAGAAAATGAATAAAAATGGGTTCGAGGTTGTGGATAATCTAAGAACGTAAAAAAATTTTGACATTTTAGAGGAACAATTATGTGTTGTGGAAAGGGTTGATGCGTTGCGTTTTATTGATGTATTAAAAATAAGTCTTGTACCTAGACTTTTGAGTCTTCCCAAATTTAAGGTTCTTGATATGATGGGACTAAGTTAATGGCACTTGTAACCATGCATTGTCATAAAATGGCTACTTACATTTACGATGATAATTTGTTGATCCATTATTTCCAAGATAACCTTACAGGATCAGCCATTAGGTTGTATAATAAGTTGGATAGAAGCCATGTGTATTCATGGAAGAACTTAGCATGTGCATTCATAGCTCAGTACAAACATGTGGCAAACATGGCTCTATACAATTCAACCCTCCAAAGTATGGAGAAGAATGATATTGAAGGCTTCAAAGACTTAGCTCGGAGGTGGAGAGATATTACCTCACAAGTCCATCCACCATTGACTAAGAAAGAAATTATAGTCATGTTTGTTAACAGTCTAAAGGCCCCATACTATGAAAGGTTAATCGAAAATGCCACCAAAACCTTTGCAGATATGGTCTTGTCAGGGGAAATAATTGCAACTATGGTCTTGTCAAGGGAAATAATTGAAGCTACAATTAAAAGTGGTAAGATCGAAGAAGGAAACACCATCAATTCTAGAAAAGAACTTGTGTCAAGGAAAAAGGAAGCTAAATCCTAAGCGATTATGCACGAAGGTCCTTAAGCTAGTAACCTATATCAACCCTATCTCCCTTACCAACCTTACTTTCCCAGTTAAAACAATATTTCCCAAAACCTTTACCAATAGTCCCCTCAGGGAGCTTTCCAAACAAGTGTCCAACCATTATCATCACTGCCACCATAAACCCGATCCACTAATTGACCAAATAATGATAAGGAACCTAGAAATACTCTAAAGATATTTGACCATATTCCCATATCTTACACAGCTCTGTTTCCCCAATTGATTGAGTGCCGCCTTTAGTGAAAGTTCACTTAAAACCTTTAAAACCACTTTACCCAAAATGGTATGATGTCAATGCTTAGTGTGATTGCCATTATGGCATTCAAGTTCACTTAATGGAAAATTGCATAGCTTTGAAACGTAAGATGCAAGGTTTGGTCAAGGTTGGACTTTTAAAACTTCACAAAGAATTTTGAGTCAAATGTTAATGAAAACCCCTTGCCCAATCACTCAGGGACATCGGTGAATGTTGTGGGAAATAAGGTAGCTTGATACATCAAACAAAATGTGATTAGGTTCAACCCAATGGAGGAAATATACAAAGCTTTAGTCAGTGATGGTATCATTCAACCAGTCTGGATCCACTAAAGTCTCAAGTACCCAAAAGACAATTCCAAGCCTGCTTGTCAGTACCATATGGGAATCAGTGGACACTTTATTCAAAAATATAGATCATTTTTTCAAAAAGTACAAGAAATGATGGATTCATCCACAGTTGGGTTCTATAAAGAATGTGAGGAAAACTCAATAAATGTGAAAAATCAAATGTTCATGTTCCTACACCGCCTCTAAGTCTTTAACTATTTATTACGAAGAAGAGGCAAATTAAGAAGTCAATAAGCTTATCAATGCTATTAAGCCTATGTTGAAATTCTTAGCCCTATCTTTTATCAAAGCAATAAGGCAATCCTTTAGAGATACGATTACAAAATCATCTTGTAAGGGATATATAATTATCTACCTCCAAATGGAAACATTGGTAGCATAACTGATGTTAAAGGAAAACTCGGAGTGGGAGATGTTATACCCCTGAGCTACTTGACAAGGTAGAAAGAGCAAAAGTGACAAATAAGAATCAAGGACCAAAAACTCCAACACAAAGGCAAGCAAGTTAGCCTATAATAGTACAAAACATCAGACACAAAAAACTAGTTACCAAGAAAGAAACTTGCAAATTTCTCAAGTTTGTCAAGCATAGCAAGTATTGTGTGGTAGAGCAGTTGACTCAAATACCAGCTCACATATTGTTTCTATCTGTACTTCTGAGCTCTAAGCCTCATCAAAATGCCTTGTTTAGAATAATCAATCAAACTCATGTGTCACATAACATATCGCCCAAGAATTTGCACCACATTATAGGAAATGTTGTTGCAACAAACTTTATAACCTTTAGTGATGATGAGATCCCACCGGATGGTAGAGGACATAATAAAACACTCCATATAACCACCAAGCGTAAGAACGTATTATAGGTAGGGTCTTTATTAATAATGGCCCTTCATTTAATGTTATGCCACTAACCGCGCTAGCTAAATTGCCTATGGACATGTCTTACAAGTAGAAATGTCACATGATTGTAAGAGCTTTTGATGGAACAAGATGACAGGAAATTAGCGATATTGAGGTACCAATATAGATCAGCCCTTGCACCTTTACCAACAGATTCCAAGTCATGGACATTATGCCCTCATATAACTGAATACTGGATGGTCATGGATACACATGGTTGGTGCAGTAACATCATCTCTACATCAAAAAGTCAAGTTTATAGTGGATGATTAATTGATAACAGTATTCAGTGAAGAAAATATCTTTGTCACTCAATCACCATTAACCCCTTACATCAAAAGTGCAAAAAAGCATTGGAATGTTCTTTTTGATCTTTCAAAGTTTTCAATGCTAGCTATGTAAATAAAAGATTGATGATACCTACTCCATGATTATCAAAAAATTCAAATATCGTAATTAAACAAACAGTGGGTAAAGGATGTTGTGCTGGTTTTTTACTTGGTAAATAATTACAAGGAATCAGAAAATCGATGATATTAAAGAAGAATAAGGAGAATTTTGGTCTAGGATATAGACCCAAAAAAAAAAAGGGAAAGTGAAGATGTTAGTTAAGAAAAAGAGAAAAAGATTAAATCGTTTCCAAGGCACCAAACCAACAATTGAAAGGTTGAGTATCCCTTATCTAAATGAAAATTTTTGTTCAGTTAGCTACCCTTACCCTGAGGGAAGTCTTAAAGATGCTTTCGTTGATTTCTCAATCCAAGCAGTTGAGGATAGATAGTCAAAAGGAGAAACGCAACATCGTTGGTATACCAAGGACCTCCTGGCATGCTGTTAAGCAATTGGAAAGTGATTGAGTTGGTAGTTATCTATGACCCTTTTAGGTAGATATGCAATTTTTTATGCTTATGCCCAAAAGCATTAGGAAATTTTAAAAAATATAGGCAAAAAATATAGGCTTGTTTCTTTGTTTTTAAAATGACCCAAGTGGACCTATGCTCCTACCCAAGAGCACTAAGAAGATTTTAATGTATGAAGGTTGTCTTTTGTTTTATTGTTTTAATAAAATGGTTCATGCAATGCATTTTCATATCTCTTCACTCATTTAATTTCTATGCACCAATTTCATAAGCTATATTCCCACATTTTTCCATTTTACCCATTTTTAGGGATCCAAATAATAAATGTGAAGAAAATGATAATAATATGATTTGATTTTGAAAGGAACCCAAACATTGATGAACTTGATAATGAAAAGGATATGACTGATTGCACTTTGACTCTTGACTTGCTAAGACTTGTCGAACAAGAAGAAAGACAGATTGCATGCCATTAAGAAGTCTTTGAGACAATTAATTTAAAAGATACCAAAAAATAAAAAAAAAAGTTAAAATTGGCACATCACTACCATTAAAACAAAGACAAGAATTAGTAGAGTTACTTTAGGAATATGTGGACATTTTAATGCATAAATTGCAATTAAGGCCCAAATGCAAACCAATCAAGTAGAAGTTGAGGCGTATGAAACCGAAGATGTTGTTAAAAATTAAAGAAGTGAAAAAGCAATTTGATGCTAGATTCTTAAAAGTATCCAAATATCCAAAATAGGTAGCTAATATAGTTCTTATTCCAAAGAAAGATGAAAACTTTAGAATGTGTGCAGACTATTGAGACTTAAACAGAGCAAGTCCAAAGTATAATTTGCCTTTGCCTTATATTGATACTGTGGTAGATAGCACAGCCAAATATGCCATGTTCTCATTTACGAATGGGTTCTCAAGCTAAAATAAAATTAAAATGGACTCAGAAGAAATGGAAAAGATAACTTTCGTAACTATGTGGGGCATGTTTTGTTATAAGATGATGCCTTTTAAATTGAAAAATGCTGGGCCTACTTACCAAAGAGCCATCGTAACACTCTTTCACAACATAATGCATAATGAGATAAAAGTATATGTTGATGATATAATTGCCAAATCTTGAAGAGTGGAAGATCATAAGACCAACCTTTAAAAATTGTTCGAAAGATTGTAAATGTACCAATTCAAGTTGAATTTATCTAAGTGTACCTTTGGAACCACTTCAAGAAAGTTGCTAGGTTTCATTCTCAATAATAAAGGAATTGAGGTTGATCCAAATGAGATACGAGTGATTCAAAATTTGCCACCTTCACGTACTCAGAAAGAAGTTAGAGGATTCTTATAGAGGTTAAGCTATATTGCTCATTTTATATCTCAACTCACAGTCAAATGTGATCTAATTTTCAAGTTTTTCCATAACCATAACTCTGATGAATGGAATGAAAAATGTCACATAATGTGTGAAAAAATTAAAGAATACTTATTTAATCCACTATTATTAATGCCACCTATTCTAGAGAAATCTCTCATTCTATATTTGATAGTATCTAACCAATACATGGGATGTGTACTAAGGCAACGGGATGAAACTGGTAAGATAGAGCATGCCATTTGCTACTTAAGCAAGAAGTTCACTAATTACGAATGTAAATACTCACAACTAAAAAATAATGTGTTATGCATTGGCTTAGGTAACACGTAGATTAAAACAATACATGTTGTATCACACAACATGGCTTATGGCAAAAATGGACCCCATGAAGTACATTTTCAAAAAGCCTTCTTCGTTAGGAAGGATTGCAAGATGGCAAGTTCTTTTTTTGAATATGATATAGTTTATGTGAGTTAAAAAACAATCAAAGGAAGCGCAGTGGCTGATTTCCTTGCAAATAAAGCAGCTAATGATTATGAACTCTAAAGTTTGATTCTCCAAATAAAGATTTGATGTTTGTTTAGCAAATTGATGAGCAAAATCCCACAACAAATAAAACATGGAAAATGTTCTTTGACAGAGTCTCGAACACTTTGGGCATGGTATTAGAGCAATCCTAATTTCTCCATGTTGGAATTATTAGCCAACAATTGTTAGATTGGATTTTCAATGCAAAAATAACGTAGCAGAGTACATAGCACATGTTATGGGACTAAAAGCAGCACTTGATAGAAAAGTTAATGAACTTGAGGCATTTAGGGATTTTGCTTTGGTTATTTATCAATTACGAGGATAATGGGAAACGAGAGACCCAAAGCTAGTCTTGTATCAGAAGTATATAACAGAGTTAGTTAAGAGGTTTGGCAAAATTCACTTTAATCATGTGTCAAGAAATGAAAATCAAGTTGCTGATGCTTTAGCTATTATCATCGCAATATTTAAAGTAAGTACAGACTTTAGCATCCAACCCATGCAAATGAATTTACTTGAATCGCTAGCACATTGGTTAAGTGTTAATGACAAAATAGATAAGAAACCCTGGTATCATGATATTTTACAACATCTCAAGTACAAACAAATGTTAAATTTATGGAAAAAAGATTCATGCTCCGTCAGCTCCTCTACATGTCGTTGCACCTCATAGCTTTTTTCCA